AGACCAGGGCCCCATTGTGCTGGGTGCTGTTCAGACACTGCTGCAAAAAGCTTAGCGAGGACTGAGAAGGTGGGAGGGCGAACGGAGGTGCAGAGATGTGGTGACTCACCCAGGGAGGATCCTTGGGTCTGCTGGCTTCCTCTTAGCTGCCCTGATCACACCAGGCTTCTCAAGCGCCAAGGGGCTCTCTGTTGCTTTGCTAGTTTTTGGAAGTGGCTTCAAATGGCAGGTGGATGAGATCTGTGGATGGTTGGGACCTCTGGGGGGCAAACTGCCTCCACTCCATATGAAAAAAATCACCACTATCCTAAGGCTGCAAATAAAAATCAGCTTTTCGAGACAGAGGCCTCTAGCAGGACTGAAGTTACTGTATAGAGCAGGGATGGGCAATAATTTTTAATGGGGGGGTGTCACTTCAAGATTTTGGAAAGTAGTCAGGGCTAAACTTCTGTGGCGGGAACATGGGGTCTGAGACAGCAGGTGAGGTGTAGAATGGAGCCTGGGAAGAGGACTGGGGGGCAGGAGGGAGTGTGGGGTCTGAGAGGGAGTTTGGGTGAAGGAGGGGGGGTAAACAGGATGACGTTTAGTAAGGACAAATGCAAAGTGCTCCACTTCGGAAGGAACAATCAATCAGTTTCACACATACAGAACAGGAAGCGACTGTCTAGGAAGGAGTACTGCAGAAAGGGATCTAGGGGTCACAAGTTAAAAATGAGTCAACACTGTGACACTTGCAAAAAAAAAAGCAAACATGATTCTGGGCTGCATTAACAGGAGTGTTGTGAACGAGACACGAGAAGTCATTCTTCTGCTCTACTCTGCGCTGGTTAAGGCCTCACTTGGAGTATTGTGTCCAGTTCTGGGCACCACATTTTAAGAACGATGTGGAGAAAGTGGAGAAGGTCCAGAGAAGAGCAACACAAATGATTAAAGGTCTAGAGAACATGAGCTCGGAGGGAAGACTGAAAGAATTTGACTTATTTAGTTTAGACAAGAGAAGACAGAGGAAAATTACAAATCATGTCCCAAGTATCTAAAAGGGTGTTACAAGGAGGAGGGAGAAAAATTGCTTTGGCCTCTGATGATCGGACAAGAAGCAATGGGCTTAAATTGTAGCAGGGGAGGTTTAGGTTGGACATTAGGAAAACGTTCTACCTGTCAGGGTGGTTAAGCACTGGACTCAATTGCCCGGGG